GTTGAAATAAGTTAAAAAAAATCAATTGGGAACCTACGAAAATACTTAAGAGATCGCCAAAAGATGCTATAAAATTTGATGAATCTTTGGGGAAATCAATGAATGTTGCTGATTCATTGATGGATTTGGAGAAAAGTGAGGAGAATGATAATGCAGCTCCTGTAAATTTGTAGAAAGGTGGGGAAAGGGAGTGAAGTGTGGAGGATGAGGAGCTACTGAAGAAGTTAATGGTGATGGTGAAGCATCTGGTGGGGAAGTCAGGCTGATGGGAGGCGATAGCTGGGTGGCACATTGGTTGGTAATTTCGGTGGAAAATGTACAAGAGGCGGAGGCGGGGATTCCAGATAGGTTTTCTGATAAAGGCGGTGAGATTGTAAATCAGCCTGATTTCATTTCACGTCTGATTTGTGCCACGTGGGGGTTTCTGTTCGCCACGTGGCACATTCCATTAGTTTAGGTTGACTGAGATGAGATGGGTGAGCAACGGGTAAGTACCTAGATATATGGGTGAGCAACGTGTAAGTACTTGGATATATGGGTAAGCAATGGGTTATGTTTTGTTTTTGGGTGGGCAAGTAATCATATCAACCAAAGTTGGGTGAGCATTCATTAAATTTACTCGGGTGAGCATTCATTAAATTTACTCGTATTCCAACTATGAAGGGTTTAGAAGTGATTTTAATTTATCACTAGGAGCCAATTACATTTTATTTCTAAAATAGTGGTGAATTGAACTCCTGTGTGACATAAATATTAGTGCAAAGATCTTTTCTTTTAACAAGAAGACATTACGGATATGAATTTCTCGAGTCCAATAGTAGAATGCAAGAAGCTCCTTATTTTTGGAATATCTAAATTATATTCTGGATCTGAAGCTTTTTGAGTGCCTTTTTCTGGCACAAAATATGGATCTTTTACGTCCTTACATTTTGGAATAGGGTTTTCATTTTTGTGATGATTGAAATGATAATTCTTTTAGAAGATCAAAGTTGGTAGTAAGAGCATGTTTCGCATGACTATACTGATAAAGTTTACTTATTAGTGAACAAGTTACTTTTTTTGTAAGAATTACTCTTGGAATTAGTAACTTCTTTATTTAAAAGTTAAAAAGCTAAAAAGGTAATGTATCCTACATGTTTGGAAACAAAAAAATATTAAAAATTAACTTTACTTACTTTAACATTAGCTGCATGTTCTAAAACTGCCATATTTATATTTATTTCATGAGTTCTGATGCAATATGAGAATAAAAGACATATTAGTTTTTAGGTTTATTAATATTAGACATATATAACTCTTAAATTAGGGGGACAAGAAGTGAACTATGAAACTGACGAGTGTTCAATAAAAGTATATTTGGATGTGAAAACATAAGATATATTAGTCTCCAGTACTGTCGAATGAAGAATGAAAAGGAAAAGATGTACCCTTTTGTTAAGGTTATGGGTGTACCATTGACTAATGTTAGTCGATAAGTGTGAGGATGTGCGGTATAGTGAACACAATAATTTAGAGAAGAGATAGAAGCTAGAGAGAAGAAAAGAGAGGAGCGTAAAAAAGAGATCAAGATGAATTGAGGAGGAAAATATAAGTCAATAGTCTGTCCAGCAAAAAAGAATCTTACGTGTATTTGTACTTGGAGTCTCTAGTTTATAAGGAAAGCTACCAAACTAATAGAATGAAAATATACCTAATTTAAAACTAGTAAGTATGCAATGAAAATAAAGCAAATCTATCAAATAAATTATAATATTCTTTTTATTTTTGCCTAAAAGGCATGCCTAGTTTCTGGTAGTCTTCCAAGATTATCCCTAAGGATCTCCGTCGAAATGTCTTCTTGCACTTATTTGTTGTAACTCGTGAAGCACAAACACTCCTAGTTTGGATTGTGTGCTTGACACGTTTTAGGCACTTTATTGGCATGCCTCTTACATGTTGCTCGTCCTATTTTGGTTTTGCCACTTGAATTGTTGCGAATACGTCCATGACATGTCATACCTTGTTTTATTAATTTTAGGAATATATTTAGAGAAATTTTTAGCTATTAAGCCTCCATTTGTCAAAATTAATAGATCATTTTTAAGTGATCAAACTTCATTTCCATCTTCATTATATTTACAAGTACTATTCACTTATGCACCACTCATCTCTATCCATTTACAAATTAAGCTGCTTATAAATTCTTCCCAAAAGGAAAACAAAGCATGTGTAATTTTAAAATATTCTATAAACTTCATGTTGAATTTGTATTATGTCTAGGTATGCATATCCTCTTTTGTTGGCACTAGTAATAAATGCACAACTTAGAGTAATCTTGAGGCAATAAATATCTACTTCTTTAATTAAAATTTTTTTGCCTTTAGAATAAAAAATCAAAGCTTAAAAAGTAAAGATATTAGTAGAATATATAATTTTAAAGAATTTGAATGGGTGTGTCCGTGTCCTACCTTTATAAAGAGTTATTTGTCCTGTGAAAATAATGAATAATTACTCATATAAAGTACATAACACATGCACATGTTTTAAGAGATTTTGTTTTGATAGGCATCAAACTCGCAGTTCTTCAAACTTGATGATTTCTTTCTCACACTATTGCATTTGAAGTGCAATATGTGCTTAAAAAGGATAGCTTTGGAATTTTTTATTAGGCCCACCTTGAAGCAAATACCATTAAGTTTATGTTTGTTACAGCCACAAACTTTTACTAAGCTTATTGACCATTTGATCCACTTTGAATTCTAACATGAAGTCCTTAAGCAACTTCATAAGAGATTTTTTGAAGTACCTCTGCATCTAACACCCCATCCCACTTTGCTTCTTCATTTCTATTTGGGCCTTTCACTTATTTCTTCAAAATGGTTTAGCCAGCCCTTCATTTTGCAAATCTGTGAGTGGCCTTTCTTTTCCCCCTTTTTTTTTGTATCGAATATTCTTCAGTTGCATGTTTTTCCTGGTCTAAGCTTCGAGATTTCTTAGGAGGTGTGTTTCATTAGAAGGAAGAACATTAGAAGGAAGAAAGGGGGAAGAGAGAGGTAGTTTCTACGTTGCTCGGACTCGGGTGCGGGTGTCGGATACGGGTACATATCTAGGGGTCGAATTCTTCTCATTTTTAAAATTAAGATATGGGGATACGGTTAAAAAGGATCCGAATTGTGGATACGGGTATGGGAATACGTCCTACAGTTTTTTTTTAAAAATTGTTCAATTAAAGTACACAACAAATAGCAATTAATGCACCAGAAATTCCAAGAAGGCAGATAAAACGTCTTTTGCAATTCCAAATGTCCTTTGCAATTCCAAGAGTTGACCCATTATAGGAGGAATCTTCAAATCTGGTGCAATTTACGGGGAAAGAGACTAACTCATCAAATAGCAATTAATGCACCAGAAATTTCATCTCCTCCAAAGCTCCAACCCTCATCTTCCCTGTCTGCCTGTCTGCAATTACCGGTTAAATGCTGCTGCCATTTTCATTCCTCCATTTCCAGCCGTGTCCGAATTCAAAGCCGAGTATCCGACCTGTATCCCGTGTCCGTATCCGTGTCGTGTCGTGTCGACACGGATACTTGGCCAAAAATGGAGAGTCTGAGCAACATAGGGTAGTTTCATTGCAAGGGAGGCTGATTCCTTTTGTAACACCCCCAACTTTCATAAACTCCAGAATGTTGCTAAAATAATTCAATTTTCTTCTCGTTAAATGCGAAAAAAATAAAAATTTATCTCTTTATAAAAAATAATTGGCATCCATAATTTACCTCAAAACTTGAAAATTGTATCTATTTGAAAGAAAGATAATCAATTAACTATTAATTAAACATGTCCTTGAGCACGATTAAAATTATATAATAAATTGAACGATAGACAAACTTAATGCTTATATTTTTCAATCCTCTAGCAGCTCATATGACCATCCTACCACAGTTCTAATTGACTCGAAGGTCTACTGGCAATTAATGCATATATCATTGAAATACATAAAAGTATAAGGAAACAAACCACTTATACGTTATGTATCTTTCCTTGATAGATCAAATGAATTTTTGAAAGAAAAATATGATTGCATTTTCCAAATCTTCTTCTCAAACTCTGTGCCTCGGTGAATAAATGGTTGTGGGTATGCTTTGAAAAAAATATTTAGTGAATGCAAATTGGTGTCAACATGGGGGTATAAATAGGGGAGATTTCTTTTTGAAATTAGCATTCTAGTTATTTAATTGAACTGAACTAGTAATCAATGAAAATCTAATAAAACTAGGATTAGAATTAGTTTTCATCCAAATCCAAAAATCAAATGATTGGGGCCTAATAATCTACTCACACGGGCTACCAACTTGCTAAGTCATTAACTAATTTAAATTAAATATGGTTTCAAAAGTAGAGTTTGGATTGTACTCCGCTAATGATTTTCTAGTAAACCATCACATGTGGAAGGCTAAGAAAAAAGAAGGTAATAATATAAAATTTAAAGTTCCTAATTTAATTGGATAAGAGTAAGTGAAGTTTGGAATATATCAAATATATGATTTAACATAGATTAAAACCAAAATAGGATTGTAATTAACAATTATCAAAATAGGATTACCATTTATCCTACACGTGAATCATGATTGCATAAAACTTAAATCATAAATTAACTTAATTAATTGCCAATTAAAGATAAATTCTTTTAAATTTAATGTCTTGGGCCTAACGAATCCAAATTAACTTTTTCACGAGGCCATATTGCGTCTTTAATAAGATCTACAAAATGAGCCCAATATTGACATACTAATTCTCGTTCTACCGAAATAAAATTGAATTTAATACTTATTTCACTTTAGTCTCTCAACTTTCAAAATTATAAAGAAGGCATCTAGGTCTACTATTTAGAGTGATGCTGCATTTTGCTCCATGAAATCAGCTATTAATTGCTATGATCCATTGTTTGCCAATTGTAAGCTTAGTGTAACAAGTATATTTTTGCATGTTTTGCCTTTTGACGAGTTCAATCTTATATGCAGGTGTCCATACCAGTCATGCAAGAATTGCTGTGCGAAAGCTCAAAATCCATGTCACATACATGGTATGTTTTCTTCCTTTTTAATGGTAAAACAAGATGATCAATTTGTAGTTAGTAGTTATCAAATTTACCCCTGTTTGATGGGGAATAAAATAAGATTTTTAGCAAATTTTGATATAAGCTGATGAAATGTGGGGTTGAAAAAGTTGTGAGTCCTATAAGATATGTGGTTAAAATTAATTGTTGATTTTAAATTAGATTAATATTTAGATTTTAATTTTTTTTATACAGGGGCTAAAGAAAAAGATTAGGGAATAAGTTAGTCTTATCAACATGGATACTACGATGGGATATATGGGGGAAAGACAAATTGCTGAATTCTCAAGTAGGACAATATTCTCTTGAAATGATGTTGATCTGCAGATATAGCTGGAAGTCCATTTATCGATATGGTGTGTGCCTTGTAATCTTTCATGCTTGGATTCCCATGAGAAGTGCAATTTTCAGGAGCCAATTTAGTGACTTATGAAACTGACCAAAATTAAGCAGGAAGTTGTGCACTTACAGCTGTGTTTACAAACCTATAATAATCTTAGGTTGCAAACATACAATAATATCTTGAAACATTATTGTCCACAAAGCCAATTTGTGCTGGTATCCGTAAAATGATCTCCAAATACAAGAACACATGTCAATTGCTAGCCTAGTTTTCTATTTGCAAGAAGTATAAGCATTATCAACTTTTAATTCCAAATTTCCGCTGATAACTGTGATTACTGCAGTTTTGAAAGGCAACTCATCTTTTCCAGACAAGTCACCACCTTCCAGCTCTCCCATATTTGACCAGCAATCAACTGAAGCATCTCATTCGGGGTAAGTTGTAAGCCTTCTATTCCATATATAATCCGTCTATGTTGGGCATTTTCTTTTTGATACCTTCCATTTCTTTGTGTTATGCATTTTACTGTTCACCAAAAATTTGTGTGGTTGTCACTTCTCTTGAGCCATTTATTTGCACGTAAATTAATATAAATCCCAATATTGTTTGATGTAACTGATAAAATCTGCTCAAAGAAACAATGATTTTATCCTCAGCTCAACAATTGATCTATAAAAGGAAGCATAGATGATAAAGGAGAACAAGCGATTAACGAGAAATGGATCTGTATTTCATCAACCAAGGCAATTATAGAAGGAAATGAATGTAAATGACAAGGGTAACTGCAGGTGTTGAGAGCTGCCCCTCTCCAGATTCAGAGATTTTTTCCACCTCCTGAATGCACTTATCGACTCTGTTTCTGCCTTTTTATTCCTCCCAACCATGAGAGCATCATAACTAACTCCCCATGAGATCCAACAACCCGTGTTAGCTATAACAAATCATCCTAGTCAGCTAGCTTCCTCTTGTGAGGCCTCAAATACGTAAAATGTATGGGTGGTTTATCAATACCCCCGCTAATGTAAGCACCTTGTCGCCAAGGTGGAAATCTAGAAACCGAATCAATTCATATGGTTCCCATGATGCTTCAAATGAAGGAAGATTGTGCCACTGAATAAGTGCTTCCTGTACTTTATGGGTCACTGCTCGGATGGATGCCCAGAACACATGCTGGTTTCACAGTCTATTCTAATTCTGAACTGAGAAGTGGTGGAAGGGGCGGAATGGGCCTAGCAGTACCGACTACCTTCTGCAATTGTGAGATGTGGAGCACTGGATGGATGTTGGCTGTGTCTGGAAGATGAAGCTTGTGGGCTATGCCCCCAATCTTATGGAGAATTGGATAAGGACCATAGAACCTTGGGGATAACTTCTCATTCGCACGCTTAGCCAAGGATTTCTGTTGGTAAGACTGGTGTTTGAGATAAACTAAGTTCCTTTCCTTAAATTGTACTGTTCTCCTTCAATTATTTGCAAATTTCTTCATCTTGGGTTGTGCCTTCGCCAATTGCTTCTATTCATAGAGCAGTTCATTGTGAAGCTGCAATTGTTGATTAAGTTCAACCACAGATGCTCGAACTCTTTGAAATAGACGAAGTACCCGTGTTGACACGACACTACATAATTATGGGTATGAGATATGTATCGAATTCTTCAAGTTTCAACCAGACACTTCGCCATTTTTGCTTCTTTTTTCTTTCTCTTTTCTTCTTTCCCATTTTTGTTATCTGTAAACCTAACGCTGCGACCAGGAGGATGGAGGAAGGCAGCAGCACTAGGTTTTCCCTTCCATTGCTTTTTTCTCCCCTTTTTTTTTCCGTCTTTGTATCGATAGTTTAGGGTTTTCTTTGTATAAAATGAAAGTAGGCTCCGTGTAGTGCTATTTAGTGTTCCACCATGTCAAATTAAAATCAAATCCTTCATTTTTTTTTATCTAACATTTATTAGTTATCTTTCCATAATTGAAAGCTAAACCCCAAAATTCTATTTTATTAGTTTTAACCCCTTATTCAATATTCATTTTCTTCTTTGTGAACAATTGATTTTGGTCTATTTAAAATGACATTTTAGGTTAGTAAGAAAAATTGAAGTTTGAAAAACGTACTCACGTACCTGTGTCCGAAATTTGAATTCTTTTTCGTCATGTTCCCGTATCTTATATTTTAGGAAATAAAAGACCTGATACTTCGTACTCACACTTCGTACTCAAGTCTTAGCATCATAGGTTACAAGTGTCTACTGAGTTCCATAATGTATAACCGGATGAGGGTCTGATGTAGGATGAATAACAAAGAAAGAAGAAGGAGAAGGGAGGAGAAGAGAAGAAGGGGAACCGGGAGGGGGAAAAAGGAAGAGGGGAAGAAACGTGGCTCAGCCAAACGCAATTTAATCAATTCATCATTTTCCAATTACAATGTAAAAATAGGTTTAAATATTGAAAATACTGAAAACCTAAAAACCTGAAAGATAGGGCCAAGCCCATTACACAAGTCCATGAAATAAAATAACCCAAGTCCAACTAAGAAATAAAAGTCCAACTAAAATAATGAAACTCGTCCAAATAATGAAACTGGGATGTCCTCATCAGGGTCCCTCCAATATACTACCTTAAAAGGAATTGTCTCGGTGGAATTATGAAATGGAGTGTTATACCAAAACTCCGTCCTAGGTATCCTCTCCAACCAGGTATGAGGGTGACCGTTAGCAAAGCATCACGATAAATTTTCAAACAATGATTTAGTACTTCTGATTGCTCATCAGTTTGTGGGTGGTATGCAGTACTACGGCAAAGAGTGTATCCTGTAGGCGAAAAAGCAGGGATTGAGGAAATCCGTTAAGTCTCAAAACTCCCTGTATAAACAACTCAGCCACTATCCTAGTTGTAAATGGATGTTTCAAGGTCATAAAGTGAGCATACTTGCTTAATCGATCCACTACCACCAGGATGGTATAATTTGGTAGCTCTTCGAGAAAATCCATCGTTAAATCATCCCAAATAGCCTTTGGATTTTGCAAAGGTTGAAGTAATCCAGCTGAGAGTGCCAAATATTTATTCTGCTGGCAAACTGGACATGCTTCCACAAAGGTTTGAATATCTTTTTTCATCCCCATACAAAACAACTCTCTGGCCATCCTTTTATGTCTTTAAGATACCTGAATGGCCTCCCACAGCACTGCCATGAAACTCCTGAACTAGACTGAGGATCAAATTAGAGCCCTTTGGTATAACTAGTCGTCGTTTATACAACAAACACCCATCTGTAACGGACCAGCTATCAATGGAGTGGTCATTGATTAAGGCATCCCTGATACTGGCTAACTCCTCATCTTTCCCTATCCGTGCTTGCAACTCCACTAGATTGAGTACCTTTGATACAGAGGTGATATCTAATTCTGTTGCCAATGTGAGTCAGGACAATGCATCTGCTGCCTTGTTCTCAAGATCGGGTCTATATTGGATCTCAAAATCATAGCCAAGTAGCTTAGGTCACCACTTTTGATGTTCAACACACCAGATGTTGCTCAAGCAGAAATTTAAGTTTTTTGACATGTACGCTCTATAAAGTGTCTCCCGAAATTAGTGTCTCCACTTCTGAATGGATAGAATTTTATGGCCATGAGCTCTCTCTTGTGAACTGATTTAATCCGAGCCCTGGGAGATAAGCCTTGACTAAAGTAAGATATACTATTGCTGTGATAGAACAACCCCTAATCCCATTCCGGATGCATCAATTTCTACCACAAAATGCAAAGTCAAGTCAGGTAATGCCAACACAGGAACTTGGGTCATGACCGCCAGATTATATAATGCTAGTTTCACTTCCTAGTGCCAATTAAAGCTTTCTTTCTTCAGCTGCCCGTGGTTCAGCCATTTTTCCATACCCTTTCATGAACCTTCGATAATAGCTTGTTAATCCCAAGAATCCTCTTAACTCCTTTATGTTTCGAGGAACAGGCGCCAAGATTGCATTGCACAAATTTTTTAAGGATCCGCTGCTACTCCATTCTCACTTATTATATGCCCTAAATATTCCCAAGTAGCACATCTACACACACATTTCTTTCTTTTCACATACAACTGCTGCTTCTGCAGGAGTCTCAACACCTCTCCTAAATGCTTACAATGCTCCTACAAACATTGTTCTATATCCCTAAACCTCAACTGCAAACACTGTTTTAGATCCCTCGAGCTTCGCATAGGAAGCCTCCCATCTTCCCATTGAAACCACAACAGAGCGCTGTCCTCCACACACCCTAGCAGCTACAGCTCTTCCACGTCACTCAACTTATTCATGCTGATTACTGACCATAGTTTCTGATTCAGCTTGCTCATCTACTGGCATCGACAATCTCACCTCGCTCCCTTCTCCTGCCATGGGCTGTGGATCTAACGGCAAACTTTTTATCATCTTTGCTATATTGTCTGCATGCCTTCATTCATTTCCCTTCGTCCCATCGTCAAACTTAGTTCAAGCTTCTCATTCATCTTCCCAGCTCCATCCCCAATTTCGAACTCAATTGTTCCACATTTTCTTGTAACTCCAGCACTGATGCACCGAATGTTGGAGTCTGGGCCACTGAAGCCTTGAGTGTTTCAATTCGAGCATCTATTCTCGTTGTTGGCATCCCCTACCCAGAAATCGACTGCTCTGATACCAAATGATAGAATCTGCTCAAATAATAAACAAGTGATGAAGGAGAACAGGTAAATAAAGAGAAATAGATCTGTATTTCATCAACTGAAGCAATTATAGAAGGAAATGAATGTGAATGACTATAGCAATGGCAGATCTCGAGAACTGCCCCTCTCCCAACAGATTCAGAGATTTTTTCCACATCCTGAATGCCCTTATAGACTCTGTTTCTTCTTTTTATTCCATCCTAACAACCATGACATCAGCATAACTGGTTACCCCTCATAAGATCCGACAGCCCCTATTAGCTATAACAAACCATCCTTGTCAGCTAACCTCCTCTTGTGATTCCTCTCATACGCAAAATGGATGGGTGGTTTATCAGTAACTATTCTAAGTTGCTATACTTATTATTAATCTTATAAGGACTAAAAGAGACCATTTCTTCTTGTGTCTCCTGTGGGCGTCCATTTGACTTTCTGTTTTTAATTCCGAGTTGCCTCTTTTCAAGTTTGGTAACGTGATGCAAGTAAGCTCTTCAAAATTCAGGTGTTCTGGTTTGTCTGATTATGGTTACCTTTTATTGCAGGAGCTCCCACAGACTTCGCCAACTTTCCAGCAACTTCGCGCAATTTAACAATTTGCTTACTCCACTTCGGTCTAGGAAGCCATTGACCAGAAAGGTAGAGATTCATCCTTTTTACTACCTTTATTTTTATATGGGTTAGAATGGGTTTCTTTATTTGGAAAATTTGTCAGGATGCACAAGTTACAAACGAATGGAGGTTCTTAAAGTTGAAGGAATTCAGAGAAAGGAACATTGAAGCAGAACATGAATCCTTTGACCGCTACATACAAAATATATGCTTATTGGAAGAGGTTTTCTCTGTTAATTCCCCACACGATGAGCAGTCAGTAAGTTCAACTGCTGTCGAAAATGTTGAGATGGTGCAGGGGTTGAAGTTGAAGCTAAGATCAAATCCTTTAAGAAATGAAAACTTGAGGAAGAGGATCCAATATATTGTTGATCAAGGATTGAAGAAGCTTAGAAAGTTTGAGCAAAATGATGATGCTAGTGAAATTAGTGATCCCGAAGAAGTTGGGAGGATGTCTAAAAAGATCAAGTCTTCTCAGGAAGGGAGGGCTTTAGCTCTAAGTGATCTTATCGATAAGTTAAACAAAGCCCAAAGTGATGAAGATCTGAAAACTTGTCAGGAGATGGCATCCCAGATGATTAGCTGGCATTCTAAGAAACATCAGATGGGACAAAGTGATCCTGAGACATCTAACGAACAGAACCCTGAAAACAAATTGTCCCCCAAAAAGCAATCTGTTGATTCTCCATCGAAAGGGGTTACTCTGGTGACCATTGATCAAGAAGTCTTATGTCAAATCGATGCACATTTTTCTTCCCTTGAGGAGGTAGAAGATATATAGGTTGGGCAGCTTTAATTTTTAGCTGATAGATATTATGGGTTTTGGAAGTTTGTAGTCATGTTATGGTTTACAATACTAAGTTGATGTAGTTATGTAACAATAACTGTTATCATTACAAAATGAAGTTTCCTTTGTGCAACCGCATGCTGTTATTTGGAAACTTCTCATATAAATGCATGTTTGTGTGAACTTGTAAGCTCTTTTTTTGAAGAGCCTGTTGATTTTGAGAGCTAGTATTACACAGTTGCATATTTAATTCTCATACCTGTGGATACAATTAGAATTTAGCATTCATTCTACAATCGTTGTATATCAGTTTCTTGAATTGCTATTTGATTTTGATGACATGACAAATATTTGAAGAATGATATGCATTGGAAGTAAAGATAAGACGTCTAAAGAAAGAATATATACAAGTACATTTCATTACCCTCATTGATGAAAACAATAATCAAAGCCATAAAATTACTTCTTAATCCTATATCGTAATTTCCATGTGCTACATATCCCGTAGATTATTATTATTATTATTATTTTCATGGTATGAATAGAAATGGAAATGTGCACAATGTGAAAATAGAGATTAAACATTAATAATTATATTCTAGACTTTTAAACTTGTGTAATATTGATAATTGAGCAATTTTAGTTAATTTAATGTATAATATTGCTTTTATAGGTGAAAACCCCAAATATGATGTGAAAAGAGCATAAAGGAGGTGAATTGGAGGTTACTTAGACTTGATTGACGCCTTGAAATTATTGATTGTACAAATTCACAAGTTTTGGGGGCCAAATGTGACTTTTAGAGAAACTTGGTGACTGTCTTGAGCACATTGGAGGATTAAGTTTGAAGAGAATAGAAGTTGAAGGACCAAAGTTGAAGAGTTTAGAAGATGTAGGACCAATTCAGAAGGTAATTGGGAATGGTAGGACCTAATTGAGATTATTTAAACCTGGAGGGAACAAAAGTGTGCGAAAGCCTGAGTTGAGTGACTAAACATACACAGAAACAATTAACTAGAGCCCAAGATGCACAAAATTGAAAGATGAGGGACTGCAGCCGCAGATGAGGGAAGAAAAGAAAAATGAAAAAAGTGGTGTTTGTCTCAATGGAACCGCAATGGGGTTCTAGCCCAACAATGATTAAAATACTTGTTTTCTAAATCAAAGGTCATCGAGTAATTGTTGTATACGACTTGCAAGGCCAATTAACCACTGTATAAAGCATTGTTTTAGAATGCATGCATATACTTCTCATACGTTCGAATACTTTTTGATACATTTTCAAAACGTCTCGCATATAGGATATGATGCGGTCAACTTATTTCTTTGACCGTATATACATGCTTAAACGCCAAAATGCGTACATAGTTATGTTAAAAATTGTGCTAAAATTAATCTAGCAAAGCTCAGCCCATTTTTGTAACTTAAAAAAAAAAAAAAAAAAAAATCAAATTAGCCATAATCACCTAAGCCCTGAATTATGTACAACAATTTATCGGATTTTGACGTTTACAAAAATAAAGAATAAAAACAGATTTTATATAGAGTTGCAAACTATCGTCAAGTCCGAGACTCCTTCGATCTTCCCTTAGTTTTACTAGAAAGTGATGCTAATATTGCTCAATATTGGATTGTTAACGATCATGAGGAAGAGGTTACCAAAATGTCTTATCATCTACGAGAAGTAATAGAAACTCTCGTGTTGAAATAAGGGATCTTGATGAAGATGGTTTTGCATTGGATGACAAGGAAAATGACTTGGATGAAGAAGTCGAGATTGAATTGGAATCAAATAAAGAGTCAAACAACATTTAGGTTTTTTTTATAGCCGATGTTCATGTCTAATCTAATTGTAAGAATTGATTGCCAAGTAATTGCAATATTTATGATATGGAATAATATGTTTTTGTTGAAAATTTTAAGAATATGTGTAAAGTTCAAAAAATTGTAGTATTTATGATTTTAAATAATATATATATATTATTTAAAATATGGATAAAATTCAAAAAATGCGTTATTTTAAATATTTATTAATTTAAAATATTTAAATAATATTTAAAATTGAAAAAAAAAACATAATTACGCATATGTTTCGCATAAGGACGTATATACTTGTAATACTTGATACTCGATCGAAATGTATTGTCACGCAGTATGTATTTTAAAACCTTGATATAAAGATCATAAGTTACACTACGTGTACAAGAAAATTTTGTCCTTGGCATTGGCTAGAAAAGTAAAAAATAAAAAGGAGAAAATTACCTTAACCCCCCCCCCCCTACATTTAAATATTCAATTTTATAAATCAGGACTTAATTATTTTTTATGATAATCAAATCTTAATTATTTTTTAATGTAAATATAAATATACCTGCCCCACATAATACATATGATTATCACTTTTTATTCCCACAATCCACATTACACCCACGCTCCCAAATAAAATAGAGGAAATTGCAAGAAATAGCCATTTTCACATGGTCATTTGGAAAAATGTCAAAAATTTCTTCAATGCCGATTTTGTAATAATTTAGAACAAATACCCTTAATGACAATTTCAAATTCCATCACAAACAAAGTTAATAGATCAGTCATTTGTCGAAAACGTTTCGAGACTTGGTTCAAGGTGAATGAATGGTTTACAAGATTTGGAATCTCGGAGTTCGCACTAATCACCGGCTTGAAATGTGGTGAATTGCCTAAAGGGTCGGTTTCCGATGGCATTCTAGAGAAAACCCGATTACGGGATAAAATATTTACCAATAGAGAACGGATAACTTGTAGCGATCTAAAGAAGGTTTTCCTTAAATGTGCAAACCATAACAATCGTTACAAGTTTGGGTTGGTGCTAATTATTGAAGGGGTTCTCAGTTCGAGAGATTGAAATGTGGGGATTCATCCTGAAACTGTCTATTGTGGATGACTTCAATTTCTTCAATGCCTACCCGTGAGGGACTATGTGTTTTAAACTTCTTATCAAATCATTGCTCTGTGGATGTGAGAGAAAGGCGGACTTAGCAAAGGGCAACGATTGTGATAGAATGTCCTGCACATTGTACGAATTCCCTCTTCCTATTTAGGTATGTCCGTATATTTCATTCATATTCATTGTACTTTGTTATTTATGTCCATATACGTAACCACTATTATACATGTGTTCCAGTTGTGGGTGTACGAAGCAATCCCAGAGTTGGGAGGTCGATTCTCGAGTAAGATTAGTGACGACCTTACAAGACAGCCTCAATCGAGAACGTATTCAGATTTCTTCGACAAAACACATGTGAGCACTTACATATACAACTGGCCTTTCGCTCACAGCATATATCACAATTTTCTTTGACAAGATACATTTCCTCTCTTTGCAGTTGCACTTGTGAGCAACGCTATGCCCTACTGCTGAAGAAGAATTGCAGTCATACTTTACTACTTTATTTCCATTAGACGATGTTACTGATCCAGTTCTCGACAGTCTCCTCATTCAATCAATTAAAATACAAGATTGCCCACCATCCGACGAAGTGATACTCAATGAAGAGAATAGCAGCCGATGCAACAAATCCAGGAGAGGTAATACAAGTGAGACACGTCTTCGGGATTTCAATGATGACAAAGGTGGAGAAGAAGAGCATCGTGACCCAATTCAAGACTTCCCATCCACTTCTGGCTTGGAAAGTCATCAAACAGCGAGCCATGTGTATATGGATGAGATAAAAGTCATGTTGACTAAATAGAGGGAGTTCATTGGGATAAAGCTAGGAGAATTGAGGAACAAAATAAACACAAGTTTCAATGGTATCGAACATAAAATTGGGGATCACGTGTGCAGCATGAAGGAGCATGTGACTGATCAACTAAGTACGATCAAACGTAGGTTCGAGGATGTGGTTACAGAATTTGGGACACAACATGTGCTCGAAGAATATGGTACATTTGGTTGTGCTGACGGTGATGGAGATATGTATGCACGAGATTACTATGATTATTTGTCCTTTTCCAACACCACAACTGATGAACAGCGTGTTGAGGCAACAAACACACATGCTAGCAATGTTGAGTCAACTGAAGCAGACGCTGGCCACGTTGAGGCAACTGAAGCAGATGTTGTCGACATCGAGGTAACCGAACTAGATGGTGGCAACGTGGATGAGGTGTCCGAAAAGTGCTCAGATGTGGTTGTCACCAATGCTCTACCGCGACCTCGACCTCCATCCCTCAGGGTGAAGCTGCCAAGTGCTAGCACTCAGACTCCTTTCACCTGGTCCGGTCGTATAAATGGTACGGGGGTGTATAGTTAGTTCACATGTTGGTGGAGCATGGTATTATGTTTTTGGAAAACATTTATAACTTATTTTGTGCACCATCGTTAAGTAGATAATTTGGTTGATGGTACAGTTCTCATAGTTCATTTAGAATGGAAATGGAGACGAATATTTCATTTCAGTCTGTAGATGTTGTTCAAGACTTATATAGTGTACACAAGTTAAAATTGTCGTTCTTGACAATTGAAATGTTAGTTGTCAAGAATAATAGGTATATAATGTCAAGAACAACACTTCAAATATCAAGAAATTTCTAAAATGTATAGAACTCTAGGACATGGAATGAAATCTCGTTCTAGATACTTGAACTGTCAAGTGTTGAGATAAACAGGTCCAAATATCGATGACAACTTTCCAAATGACAAATACATGATAAAATGTCAAGAAATACATGAACTGTCAAGTATCGAGATAAAGAGGGTCAAAATGTGGATAAATACTTAAAATAAACCGATATGTTTCCCAATATAATTTTAATGAGATGTGTATCATAAATTCATGCTGATAATAAATTAATGTCAATCAATGTTATTAATTAAATGTCAATCAATTGCAAATACATGGAGTGGGAGTTGGTTTGTACTCTTCTAATGCAATTACATCTCATTAACTATACTTTACACTCCTATACAAGCATCCATATGAGTTGAAAGACAATGTTCAAACAAAATTCTTCACAAGAAAATCCTATCAGGAAGAGCTTCTTTCAACCATGTTTTCTTCAATCGAAAAAACACTTCGTGCCAATATTGCTGTGAACCTCTTCTCGCCCGGGTCTTCGGCAGACAACCCAATCATTATTGACCCGGACGACGAAGAACAAATGCATGTTGTTGTTCTTTACATTCCTTAACCTATGAATCGTCATCATTGGGTTAGTGTTCATCCAATTCCATTTCCTGATTTGGGAAATGAATGTGATCC